GAGGGGGAGTTGGTTGGGGGGCGGTGACTGCGGCTCAGGAACTGGCTGGGCATCGGTTGGTGGGTGGTGAGTAATCGTATTGTGCATTGCTATCACTTATTTTGTATATATTTTTAATAATAATTATTATTATTAATCATTATTTTCCCTTCCTTTTCTGTTCAATTAAACTGTCTTTATCTCAACCCACAAATTTTACTTTTTTGTTTTTTCCAATTCTTTCCGCCATCCCACTGGGGGGGTGGGGTCGGGAGTGAGAGAACGGCTGTGTGGTGTTTAGCTGCCTGCTGGGTTAAATCACAACAAGCCCTTAAAATTTCCTTCTAAAAATGAAGGTAAATATAAAACATGTCTACACAGCATTATAACTATGCATATGCTTGTGTGCTGTTTCACAAATCAGGTGAGTCTCTGGGTCACTAAAGGCTATGACCTATCAACACTTCCATCCTGCTTTTTTTGATACCCAGAACTCCTGTCCCTTACACAGTGTACTTCTCTAAATCAGGACTCTGTTGCCATGCTCTTCCTATCACTTCTTCCTGCATATCTCATTGCTTTGAGCCTGTAGTCTTGCCTCTCAGCTTGGTATGTGTGCTGAGAGAAAGTGGTCACTGACAGTTTGCTAAACAGCATAGCAACTAAAGAGCCTCTGTCACTAGTTACTTGATTCGTAAACAGTACTTGCTGAATTCTTGGGTCCAGCTTGTAGTGACTGTATACTTGCAGTCAGCATTAACTCTTTACTTGATGGGAGTTGCTGGTTAATTGCCTCTTTTCAGCTGTTATAATGTGACTTGGTAGTTGGCATAGCTTTGGATCAACTTGCCTTGCCTAATGCTTCTACAGAAACTGAGCCAATGGGCATGGAAATAGATTCCCTCTGATGAAGGGGAGGTTGGGATGTTAACTGCTTCTAGTTTTGAGGGCTGTGGCAGATGATACTACTTTTATTCTCCTTTGATGTGTTACTGTATTATGTTTCTTTAAAAGTTTATTGCTTGAAAACAGTAAAAAAGGATGCCCATTTGCCATGTTTTGTTTGGTGGACTCAGGGTTGAGTAGGAAAGACCCCATCCTTTAAAAACACAGTAGGCAGGAGAGAGCTTTCTACAAATCCTCTTGTCTGTATCTGCTATCTGTTGGTCTTGTCTGTTCTGAAGTTTGTTGTTCTAGCTTCTTTTAGGTCTGCCTTGTGTTTAAAATCTTTTTTGGAAAAAAAAATTATCTGGCTTAGGATTCCACTGAAAGGGCTTATAGGTTCAAAAAAACAAAAAAAGGGCAAAAATTATTGGAGTATTATGAGAGATTATTACTATTGATTAGGACTGTACCATGAAGGTCATATTGAAGAAGTATACTTTGTATTTTGCTGTTTAGAATGCTTTTATCTATATGAAATTAGGTTATATGCAAATAGTTTCAAATGGCAGGTCCCTTCATTCTTTAGCTAGATGTTATCATAGTGATAGCTTTGGATTTACTGAGTTTGGTATGACCTTAAGATGTTTCAGTTTTGCTATATGGAAATGCTCCTTCTTAGGCACTCAGTGATGCTGGTTAATTGTATGAGCTAGTAGTCTCTTTCTGAGCAATGTCACAGCTGTAGGAAAGCCAGCTTGCTTTTGATAGAGCTTTGTCCTCTGTTATTTTTGCTCATCTGTTAACAACCCCAACTCTATTTACGGAATATTTTGTGTCTGTTTACAGCAGAAGAGTGCCGGAGGGGATGCTAGTGTTTATAATGATGATAGAAATGTGCTAAGCTTTTGAAAAACAATGGGGTTATTAAAATGAAGTACAAAGAGGGAAGTTAATTTTAGATATGAGGAAGAGGAAGCTGCATTCTGGACTGTCCCACAATGCTGTTACTGTTTGTTCTGATCTAAACTGAAAGTTTTTTGAGTTTATTAAAATGATTCAATGCATGTAGTTTGAAACGCATACTTTAGGTGTAAATCAGTCTTTTACAGACAAATTCCTAAGAATAGAAATTGCAATGTCTTGAAAGTTTAAAAACTTAAATAAAATACTCTATATACAAAACATGAAGTGTCTTTGAATTGTTTGGAATATTTTTTCCATGCTCAAAGTAACTCATTAAATTTTGTGTAATGGTTGTTTTCTTTAGGAAATGGTGTTGTAATTCATTTGCCAGGACTCTTTGAAGAAGCTGAAAAAAACTTAAAGAAAGGAAAAGGTGAGAAAATTTTAAGATACTACTCTTAAAATAGTTCGCAGGACCCTCCTCAAAAGATTCAGGTAGATGCCGCCTCTGTAGAGGTTACATACAATGTGTTTTTCCAGAACTTCATTTAGCTGCTAGTTTCTGACAGGAGTCTTGCTAGAAGTCCCAGGGCCCTCATGGGAAGACAGACAAAAGGAGTCTCTGTACAGTTTCAGAAGAAAACATGTTCTAAATATGAATTATCTGCAGACATTTTTCTTTGCTTAAAGCAGTGAATTTAAGAAGTGAAACAACTTGTTAAAGTGTGTTACCTGTTCATAGTTGTTTTACCTCTTACAATATTAGTGTACAGTTTGATGTGTGTTAATGTAAACAAATGCTGTGGTAATCACTTCTTGATTCAGAACTCAGTTTTTGGATACTTTCTGTTATGTCTGTGGCCATGCTTGGCAGCAGTCTACTTATAAGTGAGGTAAATCAATGGTCTAGATTATTCAAAACCAAAAAGCTACTAATTGATTGCTGAAATTGAGGAACTAGTAGAATAGCTAGAATTCTTCCTCAGAATAAGCCTGACTTTCTCAGCTTTATAGGCTGATGCCAAGTTTTAATTATTGAGATCTACTTTTATTCCTCTGGAACGTTATCGCTCAATCTTTAAATAGATTGACTGAAGTCTAAACATGAAAAGTATTTATATATCAGAATACAAAAATGCTATACAAAACATAATTTGAACTATTTCATTTTGTCTTTTAAGGGCTAGAAGGCTGGGAAAAAAGACTAATAATTTCTGACAGGGCTCATATTGGTAAGTTCCTGTTTGTGGTTTGGTTTTTTGTTGATTTTTTTTTGTTAATCTTTGTTTTCTCTGAACTTTCCATGGCAGTAAAAGTGTGACGATTTTTAGCCATCTCTTTTTATAGGTATGTACTCTTCTTTGGATTAAGTGTCCATACGCTGCTTTGGTTTATTGAAGATCCTAGAAAAAAAATGACCACTCAGGACCCTCCCAGGTTTATATTCTAGTGACTCTTTAATCCTATTCCATAAGCATAACCTAGTGAGGAAAGCAGGTTCACTTTCCAAACCAAAGATTAGAGGTGCAAAGCAGTCAAAAAGCAGTTCAGAAGTTAATTGACTGAAGGATTCATTTCACCCTTTGGTGTAAAAGCAGTGTTGCTTATAGCAACTTTTCTGCTGGGAAACCATGTCACTGGGCATGACTTCCAAACGAACAGGCTCCCTATGAAGTAAATTGCCACATACTTCAGAAAGGAGACTTTATGGGAAGGACTCTATAGGGGTGGAGAGAATGGCTGCCCTTTTCGCAGGGATCTCATCAGTCAAGCGTTGATTCCAGCCTATGTTCCAGACAACTCTGGAGTTTGGAGCCTGGAGTAAAATAGTGTTTAGAGTCTAAATCACCAACACAGAGCTTCAGAGGCTCTTCCTGTATCAGTCCTAGGACATCTTTATTACATAAATTCATCCTTTAAATTAGATCTTTAGATATTGTAACATAATAGTTACGTAACTGCATGTATTAGGAAATGGGCTTATTGCTGCTCTGGTAGTCATCTTCTGAAGATGCAAACATTTTAGGACTTTATCAGATAAGAGCTTGTAACACCGGAAAAAAGGTTTTGCTTTTGGTTCTGCTATTTTTTTATTTTTTTTTTTAAAACTATCTGGAATAGCTTAGTGAGTAAACATGTTATTTCAGAATAAATACGTTTTTACTTTAGAGTAACTACTGAGTTTGATGTTGCTGAGTAACTGTTCCTAAGTTACTAAAATCCCTTTTGAGAGTAGAATCGCTGTCGGTGAATTACTTGGAAATGACTAGATTATTAGAAAAACTGTTCTGCGATGATTATATTGCAATGGCAGTACTGTGAAGTTTTCATAGCTAAATGGGTCCTGAGTAGAAAGGATCGGTTATTGACTGTCACTCATAATCATTCAACCTCATAATATAAATGAACTTTCAGAATGCTTCTGTTTAGAAAGTTTTGATGACAGTCTGGAGATCTGTTACCATGATAAATATGCCTTCTCTAAAATGGGTATTGGCGATCTGTGAATGATTAATCTGTAACAAAAGATCAACCAAAAATAGGTTCAAGCTGCTGGGGATAATCTAATCCTTTAAATTAGGGGGATGTGTGGAAATAAGCGCAAAGATAAATTGGTAAGGCAAACAAGGAGAACCACTCTTGTTCTAGAGAGACTAGAGTACTTATTAAATTAGTCTGTTTCTTGCAAGTTTTCAGTCTTTCTTGTGTAATGTATAGATTAGTCGTTTAACTTTCAGGAGATAGTACTTAAGAAAAATAAGCTGGCTTCTGTTAACCTGCAAACTGTTGCACCGCTGTTTGTATTTGACATGAGTCTTGTCAGATTTTTTTTTTTTTTTTTTTGCTTTTATGGTAGACAAAGAATTGGTGCAAGGAATACTTTGCATAATCTTTGTCAATAATATGTAATGCTTTAAAAAAAATAATCAGGGCTTGTGGAGATGACTTCTGTTTACATAACAGACGGTGGGAGCTTTTGTATTTCCAAATGTATTTTAATTGATGTTGTCTAAAACATAAAAATAAAATGGTTTAAGAAATCTTTAGAATGAATGGGAATGTTTACTTAAAGTTCCCACCTTAAATTTCAGCAGTATGATGTTTTTTACTATAACCTGTTTTCCAGGATTTTTTTCAACTGCATGTTTTCTTTGCTTGTTGTCCATACATTCTTTTGGGCCACTAGAAAGCTGAAATGTCTTAGTTATTCTGTGGGAGGTGTATACACAGTCTGCAAGTATTCTACAAAATAAACACTTAAAAAAAAAAAAAGTCTCTGAAAAACCTCAGAACTTTTTCCCTGTGGAAAAATGTAGCTTGTAAAAGAGGAGAAAAAACTGTTTGTCATTTTATTTGCCTCTCTTCAGTGTGTATATTTTTGTTTTCAACATTGATAAACAGGGCTAGGGTTGGTTTGAAGAAATCATTACTGATATGGTAATATGTTTCACACAAATTTTCTACTTAAGTTATTTTTATTTTCTTAGTATTTGATTTCCACCAAGCTGCTGATGGCATCCAAGAACAGCAGAGACAAGAACAAGCGGGAAAGAAGTAGGTAGTTTTATTTTTGTCAAACATAGGATGACTTAGTACAAACATATGACTTAATACATTGGATTTCTGTTACTGTTTGTCATCGAGTTTAAAGAAGTATTCATTATCCTTGTAACGTTTCAATGTGGAGTATGCAGGGATCATTTCTTACACTTTTGTCCTCCAGTGGCTAGCAAAAGATTACATGCTTAATGAAAAGGTTATATCTTGATATTTTTGCCTTATGAAAAAGCTCCTAGTTCCCAATTTGCTTTATAAAAAGGGTTCCTACTTCTTAATGTTTTAATTGTTTACTGGAGGTATTAGTTTCTGTAAAAATATATTTCTGTTTATGAAGATTGAAGGACCCCTTTGTCATCTCCAAATAACTGAAAGGTCTGATATGACTAATTTGGTATATCATGATGCTTCATTGTCAGAAGCGCATGTAAATTTTTCACATTGTCTACTACATCCTGCTACTGACTTTATGAAGCTTTTGAAACTTCTAGAAACTAGCTGCTATGTTTCTAACTTGTGATTTCCAAGTAGCTCGCTAGTTCTTGGGGATGGGGAAGAAGCTGGCAGAATTAACTGTGACATGTCTACAGCTGGAAGGTGTTGCAGCACTATAGACTTCTGAGATACCAGTAAACTTAATCTCTCTTCTTGGAAGTTTGTCTGTGTGGAGGAAAAGCAATTCAGTCTTCCTTACTGAGACCTGTAAAAGGTATCATCCATGACAATAACCTTTAAGAGAGTTTCTGATTTGGGCATATCTTGCTTCACACAGGTTGCTATTGAGTGATAACTTGTCAATTATTCTTACACTGGGTCATTTTCACACTTGACTGTGCTGTACTAGCTGTCTCATTACCTGTTGTTTTAGGAATTAAAAAGTAAACAGGAAGAACATACATACATATATATATATATGGAAGACTAGACATATATTTTTTTATGAGCCAGTATGTGTATATCAGCTATTCTTGAATGTTTATGGAGTGCAAGCTAAAATTTTTATATAAAAATATTTGAGATTCAAAACACTGTCAGTCACTCAGCTACTTGTGAGAAGGAACCACTTTATTAGTTAGTGTTAAAAATTGTAAGGGAAAGCCCAAGGAAGAAATAACCACTTTTCTCCAATTAATTTGTTTTAAAGAAACGCAGGAAAAAAAGTTACTTTCAAAGCTAAAAAAAAGTTACATTCAAAGCTAGAAAACTGAAGTCACTCTTAAAAGTGCTGTATTTCTTCTTTCTGCGGGGTTCTTGAAATTCTGCAACAATCATACGGTTTTCAAGCTTGTTAAAACTGCTGATGGATAGAAAGTACTAAGCTATCTATTTCCTCCTAAATTTTAAGGCTAAGTGACTGTAATGGGGGAAGTACTACTACAGGCTGGCTAAGAACAGGCTATCATAAACTGATTATCAAAAGACTGTTTCCTGTTTGTCGAGGGTGGGATGGGGAATTGAAATAGCCTGCTAGCATGTCTAACTGTAGATTTGACTGCCTAGCATATTTGGTATTAAAATTCTTTTGGGTCTAACACTGCAAAGTTGATCATTATAAATAGTAAGTTTATTTTTTATTTTAACTGAATGCTTTTATCTGTTCAAATGTAGCTCAGAAACAGTCACAAGTAAGGCTCATGTAGCTTCCCTTGCAGAAAGGTTATAGAAAAGGTAATCATATATAGTATATTATGCTTATACAATTGTTTTAACTTCTATAAATACAATCTTCCGACCACTTAACTCTTTTATAAATTGGCATGTCTTAATGAAACAAAATAAATGGAAACCAACTCCTCCTTAAAAAAATTCTCTGTGGAATGTATGAATTGGGGTGGAGGCTAGAGTCAGTTATTTAAGCCACAATGTCCTGGTCTGGTTAAATGATACTGTGTGATGCAAAGTTGATTAGAATGTCTAATTCTGTCTAGAGGCAAACATATCACTCCCTGAGATTACTCAGTATTGAGTATAATTTGTTTTTTTCCAAGATTATTGTTTTGAATCTACTCCAAACTACAAATGACCTAACTAAAATGAATTACATACTGATTATGAACTGTGTTTCAGTTCACTCACGTATCAATTGGTACCCTTTAACATAAAGTTTAGTTACGACGTGTGTGTACCTTCTACTTGAAATGGAGTCCCTCTTGAACTGAGTTATGGTATGGTACTATCCTGGTTTCGGCTGGGATAGAGTTAATTTTCTCCTGAGTAGCTGGCATAGTGCTGTGTTTTGGATTTAGGATGAGAATAATGTTGATAACACACCGATGTGTTAGTTGTTGCTAAGTAGTGCTTACACTAAGTGAAGGACTTGTCAGCTTCCCATGCTCTACCGACTGAGAAGGCTGGAGGTGCACAAGGAGCTGGGAGGGGGCACAGCCAGGAGAGCTGACCCCAACTGGCCAAAGGGACATTCCATACCATGTGACATCATGCTCAGTACATCAACTGGGGGAAAGCTGGCCGGGGGGGCCGCTGCTTGGGGGACTGGCTGGGCATCGGTCGGTGGGTGGTGAGCAATTGCATCATGCATCACTTGCTTTGTATATTCTTTTATTTTTATTATTAGTACTACTATTACTATTTTATTTTATTTTATTTCAATTATTAAACTGTTGTTATCTCAACCCACGAGTTTTCTCACTTTTCCAATTCACTTCCTCATCCCACCAGGGGGGAGAGTGAGCCAGTGGCTGTGTGGTGCTCAGTTGCTGGCTGGGGTTAAACCACAACAGATACCTTCAAGGCAGGTTGAAGAAATCTGGGCCACTCTGCATATGCAGAATTTATAATTGAAGTAGATAAGGATTTATGTGTCTGCTCAGGGGGGAAAAAAAACCCAACCAAAAAACAACAAAAACCCAAACCAGTTAAAACTAAGTTCAAAACTAAGCTTAGCAATGTACAGCACACTTCTGAAAATGCTGTGCACCTGTTCACTTCTTAAAAAGTGACTTAATCTTTTGAGAGCGATGGGGATGATGTTTGATAATCTGCCTGTGATGAGTGCAGTTTGGCTCCATTTTGGTAACTACTTAGCAAGACTCTGGCAGAAAACACTTTCTGAACTAGCTGTACTTCTCTGACAGTGAAGTCAGTGCAAGCAAGTTGTATCTTATGATATCACTGACTTAAGCTGAAAAAGGCTTTTCAGGCAGAGTGAGTAGGTAAGGGTAAGAAAAAGAACAGGTTTTCAGAATCAGCTACAGTGGAAAATCTATTCCTGAACCCTTTCTAACGTACAGCATTTTGAGTATCCTTGTCACTCTTAGATGCTCAGCAGTGTTTTCTGTTTTCCTGGCTCCAACTGAGGCATTTAGAATTAAATGAAATATTTATTACATACAAACTTGAAATCCATACTGTTTGTGCTGTTGCTTTATGGAGGACTTTCTTTAGGTCTTCAGGACAGTTTTTTAAGAAGGTGTTTAGTTAGTTTCAGTTCATAGTTCTGAAGGATGTCTTGGCATTGAGTTCCTTAAGTATAAAAGTTGGGAATCGTGTACAAATAAATACATAAGAGTTCACTAAAGTATGAAAAGGTATTGGTTTAAAAACAAGTATGTAGAAGATTAATATATTAATGTCTATAAACAGTGATATTCTGAAACTATGTTGCTTACTAAAAGTACCTCGTGTTTTAAATGCTTAAAACAAGGTTCTAAATGCTTGCAATTAACAGCACTTCATTTTATGCCAAGGATGTATTAGCTTTAAAGAAAAAACCCTTAGTTTTATATCAAGAATAACTCCTGTTGTTATCTTTTGAAAGTTTGGGAACTACCAAAAAAGGAATTGGTCCAGTATATTCTTCAAAAGCAGCTCGAAGTGGACTCAGAATGTGTGATCTTGTTTCTGATTTTGATGAATTTTCTGAGAGGTAATTTCTGTATTTTAATGCACTGTTGTAAACACAGTTTTCGGTTTCTGGGTAGTAACCTGTGTAAGCATTTACATCTGGTTGCTGTTACTTTTTTTAAATTAATTTTTTTAATTTGGGAATGATTTTATTTATAATTTTATTAAATTATTTATAATTATTGAAATAATTTATTGTTTAAAATTTTCTAATCACCAAATAATTGCAGATATGTAACCAGTAAAACCTAAGGTTGGTGGGGGCGTGAGGAGGAAAACAAACAAAAACCTTAGTGAAGCTTTTTTGCCTTCCAGGTTCAAAGTGTTAGCCAATCAGTACAAAGCGATATATCCTACCTTAGAGATAGATATTGAAGGGGAATTGAAAAAGCTCAAGGTAAGCCTGCTTCTGCTGTTAAATGATATAATCACTGTGTGCAGTTACCGATATGTAAATCTCTTGGTGACTGACGCTTGTGTGAGGAGTTAAAACATAATACATATCATGGGAAATTGGTATGTATCAATTTTAAAGAGTCTGCTAGTGTCCTTAAAGACACTTTTGACCCCGCTTAATGCAGCATTTCAAAACTTGGTTTCAAGAGAAATATTGTAAACTTTAAGGAAAAGGCTTGTATAGGGAGAATTATTTTTGACTTCCACTTGCTCAAACATACTGGCTAGGAGAAAAAAAAACAAGACTGTAGTTGGGGAAGGTATGTTTCATTGAAAGTAGAATATTAATTCATTGTGTCAAACTTAAGAACTGAACTAAATTATTATTCTAAGTAATAAACCTTAAGGAAAAAAAATACTGTCTAACAACATAGAAAAATGTAAGTTGATAGCAGCAGAACTAAGGAAGCCTGATTGCCAGCTTGGTTAATTATGAATTCTGATCTGATGTTTTCCCTGCAATTGGGACAGTTGTGAGATTTCTCACTGGTATTAATTCTCTTATGCCAAATAGTGCGATTTTTGAGGTGCACCCAAGTTCTTACTTGAAAAAATTGTCAGGTGTCTTACCCAGCCTTTTGTTCATGCATTTTATAGAAACTTAACTGCATGAGATTTTTTTTTTACCCCTTAGAAAACTTCAACCAAATTCGACAAATTGTTTAAAACCATTGTGTGGAACAGGGGAGGGCGTGCACAGTTACATGTTTAATGTAACTTTCAGAAAATCAGGCCAAAGAAATCATCCTTCTTGTATCTTTAGTTGCCACTAAACTCAGTTTACCAGCTCTAGAATGGAGTATATGGGAGTTCTTAGCATTTCTGTTTGTCTTACTTTAAGTAATATCTGTTACGCATGTTGAGTTGTAGTATTTTTATCAATATGTAGACCTAAAAATCAGTTACAGTTGAGTGTTGTATAATGCTTTATAGTTTACTTAATACACATTAGGATTACAGAATATCTGAAACTCATTGTTAGGGTGGAAACGTATTATGTATTTGTAGCTTGACAAAAATTATTTGGACTTCATGTTTGTTTTATGCTAATGCACTTGATTAAATTCTGAAAGACAAAGTGTTATATATCATGTGAAGTGAATCATTAGAATGAGAACTTCATATGTTCTCATGGAGGAAAAAAGCTATGTACCAAGTGTTAACCTGAACATTACTGGCTTTGACATCCAGCTACTCAGTGGCGTTCAGGCACTTGACCTTAATTCCAATAAATAACTTTTTACTTTTACTTACAAACGTACTTGTATATATATCACAAATTAATGCTGCTTTACAGTTCTGTGCATTTGTTGGCTTCACATGGCCAGAAGTGGAACCCCCCACATGCTGGTCTTGGGGGGGAAATTTTGAACACTTGGAAATGAAATACTGAATACAGTAAAGTATTGTGATTATGCTTAAGCTTGAATATTTCTAAAGCATTTTAAAAGTTTGGATTTTATTTCTTTTTTCTCCCCCCCCCCCCCCCCCTTTTCTTTCTTTCCCCCTAGAAAGAGCATACGTGTCTATTGTCTGAGTCTAATGTTCTTCCTTCCCTTGTTCACATATTATGGCATATTTAGCATTTCTTTATGTTTGCCTTTCCTTTTCAAAAGGAATAAGAGCATTGTTGCGAGGGAGCAATAGCACTTGTACTCTGGCTGGCTTTATCATAATGAAATTATACTATACAATAGTCTTTTGTATTATTCAGGGCTGCATGGAAAAAATAAAACCAATGGTAAAGGATGGTGTTTATTTCATGTATGAGGCTTTACATGGACCACCAAAGAAGATCTTAGTAGAAGGTGCAAATGCAGCACTGCTGGACATAGATTTTGGTAGGTATAACCTTTTTGAGACGCACGTTGCTATATACTTATGTTGTGAAAGAGGAACACTAAATATAAGCTCTTCTGTGCTTAGCTGTTCTAATGGCAGAAGTGTTTTGTATTTTGGAAGAATAGTACTCTCTCTGACTAGCAAATAATTAGAGGGGGGAAAAGAGTTTTTAATTAAATTCTTTCAAAAAGCTTTAGACTCTCCCAAGATTAATTATTTGAATGACAGTAAAGATCAGGTGATTTTTCTTAAATAGAGTGTAGCTATTACTTCACTGTCTATGAATTTCATATGAAATAACTCACAGTTGTATACATCTATGGAAAACACCTGAGAAGAAAAATGGAGAGCTTTGAGAGGCAAAGTATATATGCAAAATACTGGTTGATTTTTGAAGAATCAGCTTGCATTTTTTTTAAACCCTTTATATAACACCTAGTTTTCCCCTGTTTCACGATGTAAGGAAAGATGTTGGGAATCTGGATTGCTAAGGAGGCAAGAGTGAAAAGATTATCCCAATGAATTTGAAATTATAAATGATGCAGTTTTTCTTAAAACACTAATTTTGCTAATAAAATTAGAAACTTCTTGATAGAAGCAGCTTTTTTTTTAAAAGATTATGATGTTTGTTATCATTATATTGTAAGGACAGATAAATTATTATACCTCTCTATAGGCATAAGCAGCCTATATGATTGGCTCCTGCATTTTGTCACATTTTTCTTCAGTCTCACTAGCCTTGTAACTGCATCGTTTTTATTGATGGCAAGATGCTTAAGCCAGAAATTGAAGCCTGTAAGGACTACTGTCAAACAAATACAACAAAGTACGCGCTCTGCTTTCCACTGGTAGGAGTTCTGATATTGGGCGTTTTCAAACATTGCGTTTGAAAGCCTCTTCTTTTAAGAGGAAGATGTGTCTAAGACTAGTCACTATAAGCATAAGCACCAATTTTTCCCGTGATAATCTGAATATTGGAAGAAACTGCCTTTTTTAACAAGTGGGGAAAAAAAAAAAAAGGAAAGTCTTTAAATACGCTTGTCACAGGGAAATGTTTGATACAAACCTGAGAAACTTGCAGAAAACTTGGGGGGTGTTGTTTTTTGTAAGTAGTGAGGATTTTAAATTTCATATAAGTATAGGAAATGCAAATAGTTTGAAACTCATCAGGTATGTCTATAATATGTACAGAGTTGTTTGTGTCACTCAGATTTTTTTTTCTCCTGCCTGTGCTGTGAGACCCACACACAGAGAGAATATCTGCTCTCCTTAGGTAGATACCATCAGTGGATTGGACACTTGGGTTAACAATAGACAAGTCCTAGTCAAAAGATTTGACAATGTCAAATTTGATTATTGAGCTTTCTGAATGAGGCTATTTTCCGTGCCTCGGTGCACAGAAGTCTTAATACTGAAGTGAGTTTTATGAATGTGTGTCTGTTCGCAGTGAAGACGGTAAGTCCCCAGCCTTGCAGTCCATCCCGCTTTTCTGGAGCATGCAATGAAGCTCGCATGTGCGTGTGTCTGGGAGTGGGGGCGTGTGTGTGTGTGGTCTTCTGTGTTTTTAAACACCGAGTGAGGATAAACCAATGTCAATATACCAGGCTGGGAGCTGAAAATGAGTAAGAAGTGTCTCATTGACTCTGTTTGTAACATCCACAAGCTATATTTACCTGTCAGTAAAGAAAAGCTCAACTACTGTGTCCGAAGAAAGATAAAGACTAATTAGTGCTTGCAAACTGCTGTTACCTATCACCTGTAAGCCTGGGTTTTTCTCTTGAGAGATTTAAGCAAAAGAAGCAAGACGTACCTGAAGCTAGTCTGCAAAACCTCACTGAAGAGACTCTGAAAGATTTTTGACTTTTTAAAGTTGTCTGTATTGCTTTCAATTCCTTTTGTCTTGGCTGTTCCTCTCTTACCTATCTCTGACTTTTACACCAAAAGGAAAAAAAAAAGTCTGAAGCATGAGGTAGAAGTCTCTCGCTTATATGTAGTTACTGTGTGGCTGAAGCATTTGTTCACAATTCAAATCAACTAAGGACTGGCATGGTCTCTTTCATCTTCCATTACTTTAAAAAAAAAAAAAAGTATAAACCTAAGGATTTTGAGATGTTTAACTATTTTACGTGTCCAGGCTGCTTTTTAAGAGGACTGAATATTTAACTAGAGACAAACTCTCACCACTAATGAACTAGACTATATTCCCAAAGTCTTTTTTTTTTTCTTTTCTTTTATTTTTTTTAATTGTGGAAATAATTTTTTCTTTTCTTTTTTTCTTTAATTGTGGAAATAATTTTTTTCATTTGATTATGTAAGCAAAATTGTTCTTTCCAGAATTCTACGTTTCTTTGCAATTTCTTACCCTTATAATGTGCTGACCAGTTTGTAGAGCTTGGGTTTTGGGGTTTTTTTAATCTCCCAAAATGAAAAATGGTAAACCTGTATTTTCTAACCTTTTAATACCATTTTCTGAAGCTTTAATTGTGGAAATAATTTTTTTCATTTGATTATGTAAGCAAAATTGTTCTTTCCAGAATTCTACGTTTCTTTGCAATTTCTTACCCTTATAATGTGCTGACCAGTTTGTAGAGCTTGGGTTTTGGGGTTTTTTTAATCTCCCAAAATGAAAAATGGTAAACCTGTATTTTCTAACCTTTTAATACCATTTTCTGAAGAATCTTCCTTCAAATTTTCACATTGTTCTACTAGTGAGTATATTTTATATAAGATAGCAAGGCATGGTTTTCTGGTGTCTTATTCCAATTTTTGAGTTGTATGATCATTCAGAATTGTTATGTCATCAACTTTTGCCTCTGTATCAGTCGAAGTAAGTGGTAAGATTTCTACCTTTTTCAATAAAGAAGGATCAGACAATGTAAATACAAAGCTAAGAGCTCATTAAATATGTTCTTGACCGCAAAATAAATTTACTGTGCGTTTTGTTTTGTTTTTTAGTGTTGTAAAACCTAGGTAAGTGCAATGCAAGTACTATTCCTCACCAGGGTAGATTTTTTTTTTTAATAGTTTAAAAGCAGTGTTTTAATAAGTTTTTAAAACCAATTTTTTTTAATAGGCACATATCCTTTTGTGACTTCATCAAACTGCACAGTTGGAGGTGTGTGTACAGGTCTGGGCATGCCACCACAGAATGTCGGGGAAGTGTACGGAGTTGTGAAAGCATATACAACGAGAGTTGGAATTGGTGCCTTTCCTACAGAACAAAATAATGTGAGTATTATCAGCCCTAGATGTGACCTGTAACTGGGTGAAATAACTTGGTGTGTCTGTCATATGTTAAATCAGTGTTACTTGTTAAATGCAAGTAGCTGGCGGTATGTTTGGATATCTCATTCTTCTGATTCTAGATTGAGCTTACAGGATTGCCAAATCTGATTGTCAGTTTCTCAGACCTTCCTATGGAATAGAAGGCTAGAGCAGGAACAAATTTTGAGAGATTTGCTCAAATAGCGTTCTCTTGAATTAGAAATAGCATTTTGTATTTCTATTTTCATCTCAATGGACAACTTTGTGAAAAATTGGGGGAAGAACTTTTAAGGTAATTTACAATATCGTAAAATGCTGTTAAGTATACACCTGCATCATGTATTGCAAATAAAAAAAGGCTCATGTAATAGTATTACTCTTTGTTAGGAAATTGGAGAATTGCTGCAAATGAGAGGTAAAGAGTTTGGTGTTACCACTGGTAGAAAGAGAAGATGTGGCTGGCTGGACCTTGTGTTACTCCGATATGCCTACATGATTAATGGATTTACTGCGTGAGTTATTTTGACAGCTTTGCTGGCAACTTGACATAAAATCATGAAATGCTACAGATTACTGTAAACTGTACATATACTAGTTAGTAACATTCAGACTGTTCGTATTGATTTGTTGATTGTTTTGATATTTTGATAAATTAACTGTCACTTATTTTTCCTATCATTAAATGTTTTTATATTTGACATTTTCATACTTGTAAATTTTTGTTTCCTTTACTTGTAGCACATCGTTATTTCTCATTTAAAATGATCCAAGAAGCACTTATGTATCTTAGTACTTGATGCTTTGAGCTATCCCAACCCCTGCCATCCCACCAAACCAAATCAAATGCATTACAAGGGCCTTAAAACCTGATACAGTTTGTGGGGTTTTGTTTTGTTAGTTTGTTTTCAAAATAAGACAGATGGGAACCCATCAATATCTTCAGCAGTATGTGTAAATGTAGAAAATTTGGATATGACTTTGGGATTTTAATTAAAATAAAAAATAGGTGTCTGAAACAAAACTGGTATAAAATTTCCAGTAGATCAAATTGTGTAAATATATGCTTTACTTAAATTTTCCTGGTTTTCTTGTCCTTTGTGGTTTTTATTTAAAATAGGATGCAGCCAGGTATTTACAGAGCCAGTGTTTGATTATTTTGCTGCCTTCGCTGTAGGACAGGAACATTTGGCAGAGGACAGGAACAGACAGCAACAGGCATCATGCTATGAAACCATCTCAAGTGAATGGTCATAAAGTATCTTGGCAGCACCCTGACCAATTAAAATTCTAACACTTAAAGCTATAGACCAGTCACTTTAATTGGACAATACCTGTTCTTTGAATTTTGCCATTTTTTTACAGTACTAGATCTAAGGACGCAACAAAAAGGCTGTTTGAGTTTTCTTCTTTTTAAAGTCACACCAGATAAATAGATTAGTGCCATACGAGATATTTTTCTAAGGAAAGATAATTAATTGCAATGTGCAGGAATCAGTTTTTCTTTTGGTATTTTTACAATGTGATGAGAGTTGAGAGTTGTTGAACTTGTTTAATCAGAGTGATGTTTCTTTATAGATTGGCGCTTACCAAATTGGATATCTTGGATGTATTTCCAGAAATCAAAGTTGGTGTTGCATACAAACTAGATGGTGAAATCATACCTCATTTTCCTGGTAAGACTGCTTGTTTAACTATTTTAGATTTTAGTGAAATGTAGTCTGATACTTAAATGCGTTTGACTTGTAAAATTTATGACAGGTATGTGTTACTTCAGCATCAAGCCATTAATGTCTTCCCAGATGCACCAGAGACACCCTGTACCACACCTGTACCCACACTGTAAAGACACCTTTACCAAATACTGTCCTTTTCTACTAGAAAGATGCAAAGTGCTATATAAAGCTTCTTAAACGTAAATGTTGTTACTGCTTTATCCCTTTCCTTTAATACAGCCTGCATTACCTTCAGTCTAAATTGGAAGCTTGTTTCACACTCCAAACCCAGTGTCTTATTCCCACTACTGTATTCATCCCCTCTTCTAGCAGGACAAGTCTTCATTTAAGCATGCGGTGAACCACATGAGAACTGATCCAGTTGAAAAGCCAGGTTTTTCTCTCCCTTTGTTATTTTTCTAACAGTTCAGTTCCCTTTAATGGTTCACAGAGCAGCCAAAAACCTGTCAAACCTACGCAATGGAAAAGAGGGAAAAGGGGTGGGGGAGGAAATGGGCAATTAGTTTAGGTGAAAGCAAAACCATTTTCTAATGCAGGACCACCATACATCAGCTCAGCATGGTAGAAACTATACCTCCTCAGGAGGACAGCGGTCATTTTAGTGATCACTTTTACCTGAAAAGTGTATCAGCATGTTAAAATAATCAAATATCACAAAACATTGTTTTCATGGGTAATGTATCTTTTTCAGTTTGCTATAGTAGAGAAACTCCAGAAAAAGGAAGAACATTAGCCGGTACTAAAGATTGGACTTCCTGATTTTCTAATGTGCGCATAGATGCCCATTTCCATTCTAATTTTTACCTCAGGGTTTGAGGTTTGGTCACATGTTACAATTTTTCATATGATATCATCAGCAGAGAACTCTTTGTGAATGAGGAGATCAACTGTAGTAATCAGATACAACTCTCAGCAGGACTTAGGTAGTGTAAAGATGTAATTATGTATAAAGGAATAAGTGATGATCTGCCGGCAGTCCTTGCAAATAGCACATATCTGTTAGGGAAATTCATAAGGAGTTAACAAAAAAAAAAAAAAATCTGTTTCTCCATGTGCTTGGGGGAGTTCTCTAATTGATTTGCCCTCCAGTATCTTCAAACAAAAGTGCCAGTTACAATCTGAATGCATACTGCATGACATGGCACGCACTTTTATTCAGGAAATTTAGTACTCATCTTGCACTAAACCAGGGAATGCTTTTCTCTTTTTAAGATGCAGATATTCCCTGATTGATACCCTTATCAAAATATTAAGGAAATTTGTATGTACTTTAGATGGCCTTTGAACATAATGGAGTTTGCACGTTTGGATTGAGAACTACTCAGTAAATGCTTCATCTGTAGCCCTGTTATCTAACCTGGGGGCTGTTTGGACTGTCTTGTGCTCAAGCCAGGAGGACCTTCTCTGGCAGTCTATCATTAAAGATGGCATGAACAGGCAGACATCTTTTCCAGTACTAAGACTTCAGTGATTACTTTTTTTTTCCCCTTCATTGTGTCTCTCAGATGGGACCAGAATCTTTTTACAACTCCTGAGGGCAGACTTTGATCCCTGTATACGCCCAGGTAACAGATAGCTGACCTTTGGTCATATCAGCACAACGTGGTTCACCTGCCTAACTGTATTTTTCTTTACTGTATGAAAAATCAAGAATTCCGGTAGAAATTTAGTAGAAGCTGTTGTCTTTGCTGTTGACATGCTGTCTTCCTTAAGTGTCAGGAAGGAGTTTGAGCTGAACTTCTGCTAAGCTGGAGGATGCTGTCTCTCACAGTGCCTCTGTGTTCCACACCTCTCTCTTTGCTATACTTCCCAACATTTGGCAGCATTTTCAGCACATATGCTGCAGGTTACTTATTACCCCTGTCCCTGGCATAAAAACCTAAAGGTAACTTTCTTCCCACCTTGTGTTTTGCAGACCATTAGATTATTTCCGATGTCTACATCTCTGCATGCTGTGTACTTGTATAATTTATTTATTTTTTTAAACTTGCCACTTTGACATTTTGAATTTAATTTAGAAGAGATCTAGTCTGGGAATCTCTCACTGGCAGGGTATTTCTTTCTCTCTCCCCTCCCTACCCTCCCACTCTCTTGGAGATGTTAGTGATTTACCCTTCTTGTCAAATGACTGTCTCTAATTTAGAAGCACACACAGTGCCCACCATCTCAGGAAAAACACGCCATATTTCATATATTGTTCCTTTTTCCAGCTGGATCAGAGAATCCTACGAGTCTCACTCAGTTTTTTTAGCTTAGATTTCTGTGGGCATTTCATAATCTCCTGTTAAGAAAGAACTGAAAATGTCTTGTAAATTTACAGCTGACTTCAGTTGGTATCATTGAGGCTGTAGTCTTTTGCTATGGAGCTGGCCAGTATCTCCATTTCTGTTCAGTCATAGGAGTTTATGAAAGAAAGATAGAACTGCCTGCTAGCTCTGAGCTGATCTGTTTAAAAGGAATGTGGAAGCCATGGTCTAGTCCTGCTAATGCCTCCTGTCCAAGTTCAGGCGTCAGTTGATCTCAGCACAGACACAACCTCTAGCTCAGGAGACTTTGAAAACACAGATCCTTAGGAAATTGGGAGATTATTTTGGAGAAGCTTTACTTCATGCTTGCTTTTTTTTCTTGTGCTCTTTCCCTGGGCATCTGCTGTAGGTTAAAGAGCTAGGACACTGTGCTAGATGCATCTTTGGTCTGACTTACATGACTGTTTTTATGTTCAGTTTCTGGAAATTGCTGGAGGATCTTTCTCTTACAGTGGTGCCAAGATCCCAAATTTCAGCTATTCTTTCTGAGTTGGAAGTAACATCACATCATTCCCTCTCCAAATTATAGTACCAGACTACCAGAGATCATTATATCTGCTCTCTCTGTTATCTAATTCAGCTGTTAATAAGGAATATTCCAGAAAGCCTAAAAGATAAAACCCCTAAGGGAAGAGCTGAGAGAAATCTAGATGGTGACTACATCTGTTACTACACTGAGCTCAGTTTATGGCTTATCTTTACCACACATCATCTTTTATCACACCTGCTGGAGAGCGAAATGAGAGAATAATTTGAAACATCGAGAAATTTATCCCTTCTTTTTCTTCCTCTCTTTTGGGGAAGTAAGGAATCGAACTAATACAGAGTAATGGAAGATTGTTGAAAAGGTTAGACCGTTGAATTCTAAGTGCTTTCAGCTTTCATAGAATCATAGAATCATTAAGGTTGGAAGAGACCTCTAAGATCATCGAGTCCAACCGTCGACCCAACACCACCATGCCCACTAAACCATGTCCCTAAGCGCCTCATCTACACGTCTTTTAAATACCTCCAGGGATGGGGACTCAACCACTTCCCTGGGCAGCCTGTTCCAATGTTTAACCACTCTTTCAGTAAAGAAATTTTTCCTCACGTCCAATCTAAACCTCCCCTGGCACAACTTGAGGCCATTTCCTCTCGTCCTATCGCTTGTTACTTGGGAGAAGAGACCGACACCCACCTCACTACAACCTCCTTTCAGGTAGTTGTAGAGAGCGATGAGGTCTCCCCTCAGCCTCCTTTTCTCCAGGCTAAACATTCCCAGTTCCCTCAGCCGCTCCTCATAAGACTTGTTCTCCAGACCCCTCACCAGCCTCGTTGCCCTTCTCTGGACACGCTCCAGCACCTCAACGTCCTTCTTGTAGTGAGGGGCCCAAAACTGAACACAGTATTTGAGGTGCGGCCTCACCAGTGCCGAGTACAGGGGCACGATCACTTCCCTACTCCTGCTGGCCACACTGTTTCTGATACAGGCCAGGATGCTCTTGGCCTTCTTGGCCGCCTGGGCACACTGCCGGCTCATGTTCAGCCGGCTGTCGACCAACACCCCCAGGTCCTTTTCCGACAGGCAAAGGACCTTTCTCCCAGCTAGCCTCATCAGAGAGGCTTCAAAGTAAAAATGCCTGTGGACCTCCAAGATTAGGTGTTCAGTCACTTTCCCTCTTCAGAAAGAGGGAGGCTAGCGTCTTATTCTAGACCATCTGCAATGCCCAGAGATTAGTTTGTGGTTTTGCACTTTGAATATAGCTATTCTATTTTACAGATCACCTGGACAGCAGACAACACCTCAGTTGTTACTGCTGATGACCTTAAAGAAAGTCCTTATCCTTGGCCTCTGCAACCCAACATCCTTAATGTGCCTGTCTGTCCTGATTACAAGTATTGATTCGGGATCATTTGCCTTAACCTGTGAACACCTCAGTCCAAAAATTGTGCATTTCTTCACTGTTGTAGGCTTTGAAGTCAGTAGAGTATCGTCCTCTTCACCTTACCTAAAATGCCTAGTTCATAAAGGCTGTCCTAACAACATTGCTACGATTGAACTCTTACCTGCACCAGGACAAATCATTCAATATGCTGAGCCTGAGTTTGTTTACTACACACACGCTGGAGGGCATTAGCTATGGTTTTGTATTTGCACCTCTACTGTGCCTCTTGCGCCTAAAACCCTTTCCCAGGTTGACTAGCTGTCTTTGCAGGTGTGACTTGATCAGAGACATGGAGCCTACATAACATTAATTACAGTGCCTTTGACAGAACCCTGTCTTTTTCAGGAGGGGAAGAATGCCTGACACCTCCCTTTTTTTTTTTTTAATCAATGTATTTTCACCATTTTCAGGTTTAACGCTTTAGTTTCGCTGCCCAGGTCATTCCAAGACTAATGTTCAGATAGTTACTGGAATGATTCAATTCCAGAACAATGCACTTAGCATCTTGTCCAGTACTTGAAATCATCACAGGATTCAGAGTTAATGGACAACATTGTAGCAAGTTACTAAATTAAGGACAAGATGGAATATACTCATTGCTTCTATTCTGGGAAGTAATTGGAACAGTTACAGTTCATACATCGTGTGGGACTCCATAGTGGTTGACAAATTCATTGTAGAGTTTTGGGGCAAAGGGTCTGTGGGCATCAGAAGTCTATTATGTATAAACTACATCTTATGACTATGTTTAGTAAAAAGTACACTCCTGTGCCATTTTAAAATATGTTTTAACTGCCTGATACATACAAGCTGGTGCCTAATTTTCCTTTCACATCACCAAATTCCCTCATGAAGGGGGAGTTGGATCTTGGTATTTGTTCAGCAAAAAAAAAAAGTCAACATTTTGGGGAATTACTCTTCCTGAAAAGTTGTTTTCTGAACTGAAAAGACTGTGGTTTAGCAAAATGTATGCATGTGACTGTGAGTACTGGAATTCCTAAAGTCTAAGTCCTGATAGTTACTGGATTTTTTTTTTCCTCTGCTTATATTAACAAAAAAGGACACTTCAGCACCTTCAGTGCTGGTATTATCTTATCAGTAAACCTCTTTGTATGGGAAAAGAATAAAAAGCTTTACAGTTATGTGTTTAGTGCTAGAGAATATATAATCTTTGTAGGCATAATATTTTTGTTCCTGTTTGCTTCTCAGCCAACCAGGAAGTCTTAAATAAAGTAGAGGTTCAGTATGAGACACTCCCAGGATGGGATACGGACATATCAAATGCAAGGACGTTTGATGAGCTGCCTGTAAATGCACAAAATTATGTTCGCTTTATAGAAATGGAGTTGGGCGTTCCTGGTAAGTAAAACAGATTTTGTTGTTGTTTTTTGTTTTTTTTTCCTGCTCCATGAAACCTGTCTTGTATTTTGCCTTAATGAACATTCAGAATATTGAATACTAGTTTGTAGCTGTGCTTATTCTGATGTACCTGGTGATACTTGTAATTATTGTTTTACTTCTTTTTAGCTGTTGAATTGAAAATTTTCAAAAGCTTTAATATGCATTCTTTCTTTGGCTTATACTACAGTTCTTGTTCAGCTGAGATTTTTATAACTTGCTTAAGTGTTTTTGAGATTGGTTATAAATAGGGGTTTAGTTCTGCTGCCATTATGAAGTCAGTGGGACTACTGGTATATTAACTTGATTAAATATATGTGACAGAGGTCCTAAACTAACAAATTTCTCTATGCCCCCTAATAAAGATGATCCTGTGGTTCCATCCAAAGCTGGGAATTAGGAGATGATGCAAATCTTTACTGTTCTGACAGTTTCTACGTATCTCTTTCCTATGATGTGGAAAACTGATTTATTCATTATGGCAGCTTCAAGACTGTTCCTGCTTTTCTAAGTTACCAATGCATTCTTACTTGGAGAACAATAGACATAGTTATCGTTTCTTAACATACTAATAGTATGTGCTGTGTTTTTCTTCAGACTACGGTACTTAAAATCTTAAGCGCTTAAGAAGATAAGGTTGTATCTTATCTTAAGATACAATCCGATCTTGCTTTGTATTACTTAAAATAAAAGTTTGCTTTTCTCTCCTGCAGTTAAATGGATTGGAGTAGGGAAATCCAGGGAATCAATGATCCAGCTGTTTTAAAGATTTCAGATGCATGGAAGAAAGCACACTCCTCAAAAGACTGCTCATTCTTAAATGCATTAGTAGCCCGCAAAGCAAAGATGTTGGAAAGATAGATTTTTTTTGCATGGAAAGAAATGCTAGAGTTGATACCCCCAAATCAATCGCTACACCTGAAAGGGACTTTAACATGAACCTGTATCAGTTCTTGTTCAACTGCAATTTCCAGGACACTTGTCACTGTTGTTCAAGGTGCCATCAGATTTTTTTCCTTTACCTAATATTTACTTCATAATGTAATTCCTGTTTGAAAATCTAAGGTAGCATTATTTTCATGACTGTTTGTCTTTGTTATCCTCTCTCTGCTTTTGGCGGTGTTACTTCCCTGAAATTTTAGACAGTAAAAATAATGCAGTTTTGCACAGATAGTTTTACATCCTCATTATTTGTATTCCTAAAGCTGTTGTATTCTTAATGGCTGCTCTTGTGAGTGATTAAAGAGAGGGATTCTGATTTTATAATGCTATAAATGCTGTCTAAATTATTGTGTGATCTGTTTTTTAAAAAAAGATGTGATGCCAAGTTGTTAAAAATGTCCAGGTTTTTTTAGCTGTGTAACACAGAAAACTTACTGTTTGTAACTCACAGAGGACACTCAAGTGTTTACCAGGAAGTGTGCCCAGAAAGTTAGAAAACTGATATTGTAAAAAGTTCCTTTGCGATTATTAAAGAACCGTTCTGATTTTGAGTTAAATGTTTTATAATGTTACTCTTTTTTTTTCTGGTATTTGAAAAACCCTGCACTTCTCTACTTCCAAGGCGTGTATCTCAAACTGTTTCCCTAATTAAATGAGGTTATATTTATATTTGGTGAGAAATATAACATTTTGATGCCCTTTTAAATTCCTTTCTACATAGCCAATAGAAGATCTTTCTCTGGAGAACTGGCAAAGCACAGACACTTTTGTAGTTATAAATTGAAGATGCTTTAGAAATAACATTTGAAGTACTCAACATATTTAGATGTAGGGAAAATAACAAGTATTCACCTCATGACATCTGACATTTTGGCTTATTAGTGTTGGGAAATGTTTTCAAATTATTTTAATTTATAACCATTATTATATATTCCAAAGAATCTGATTTCTCCTCAGCATTAAAACCCAAACAACTTCATACTCGGTTTTTTTCTGGAGGGGATGAGGGTCTAGTTTTGCTGTCAGCCTTGCAGTCCAGGAAAGAACCATACCATCCCTCCCTAGCTAAGGGACATCTTGAGTTAAAAATCTTTTCCTAATTCCCTGATGAAGAGGAGGAGGGATATAACTGTGTGAAACACAAATTCCAATGTTCATTTAGAAGGAAAAAAACAATATTACTATTCTATTATTATTCTAGGTGATGGAGGGAATTGACCGTGCAATGTGAACAATAGGTAATACTAAGTATTCTCGTCTTCCTGTAGCTGTAGGAGGCACCAGAGGGATTTGTGCTGCCAGTGAAACTACCAGCCAAGGGCTGGGGGCCTAGCTGGTTCAAGGAGTGAGTAAATAAATAAATAAACGAGGGGCATGCTTTCCTTCTACAGTGAGTGAATAAATGAGGGCTTACTATGTAGCTGTGTTTCACTTCTGCCAAGGAGAGACCTTCAAGTTCAGGCCTGTTTCAATTCTTCCACTGTTGTAACTCCATTGCACAAACCACTCTTGTTTTTTAGTTGAGGAATTCATATTCCCAGATGCAGCAGGATTTCTAAGCAATACAGCTATAGCCTAAAATGATACAAAGTATTTGTGCAGTTAAAGAAACAAAACAGGATTGTCTTGGATGCAAGAGTGATTTATGTTCTTTTGCCTTCTTTTAAGTTCAGCTGAGATTTTTCTTTGATTCTTCCACTCAAGTGCAGGCCTGGAAAGTTGAAAACATCCTCCTACCAGTACTTGTCCAGATAATACGTGGTCCAGGATCTGTTGGTGTATATTTCCTCTCATGACCTGGAACGAAGAATTTTTCTCTTTAACTTTCACGTGGTTAAACTTGGCATCTGTAAAGCTTATTGTGTTGTCCCTGAATGCCAGTTTCACATAAGCTTTGCTAGAGTGAATTCTTGGACTGGTGCACAAACACTCCTGGTGTCAAAGAATGGTTATAGAATGGTTATATTCTACCAAATTCTCCCCTCCCCCAGTGCTACTCGTGTACGTATGGGGAAATAGGCTGGGATGTGTTATCACCAGCCTGAATATTGTGGATAAAAATGTTAAAAGTTATGGAGATCGTTTCAAGTGCTGTATGCTCTGCTCTTGAAACCATGCTATGTTCAACTATGGAAGCAAGGAGGAAAAAGAGAAGAACAGCCTAATACTCTACGACCAGCAGTGTGTTTAGCAGGGGCAAAGTTACATGTCTTTGAAGGCACTTGTCGTTTTTTCTCTAGCCAAAAGTCACTGTTCTGCTTTTTTTCCCCCTTCATTAGTCAATAGCCCTTTGGCTTCAAAGGAGTTGCCACACTCCTTGGCAAAAGGATTTTGGTTGTCTGTCACAGGCTAATAGTAAGCTGTAATAAAAGGAAAAACCTTTGTACTTCAATGACAAGCATGTATTTCTCAGGCCCTTCCTGTATACTTCCTTCCTCTGTCTCTTCTGTTGCTAGCACGTTAGGGGAGAGGATGGCAGCATAGGGTAGTAGCTGAAATTGATTCTCCTCCAAGTGTCCCCTCCCGCTAATGGGATGTTTTCAGGAGGCACGGATACCTGTTAGACCTGACAAGGCTGCTGACAGACAAGGTATTTTGATCTCACGCCATTCTCGCTGCCACTGAAATATTTATGAGGTTGGTTCTCCTAGGCTTGTGCTGTACTGCAGCATTTAATAGCCCCTACGTCCCTGCGGTTTAGTGAGCCTCCTTTACTAACTTAATAGGAGGGGAAGCAAGGGATACTTCTGCTGCTTAGCCTTTCCATTTGTATTCCATATGTAATTGGGTTTTGGCATGTAGCTAATGGACAAAACCTTCAGATAAAGTGGCAGACAGATAATGTTGATGTAATGCATGACAGCTGCTTTCATCTATCATCCTCCTAGAAATCTACTTTCTAATAGGAGACTATAGTTTCCTTTTGTTGTCACAGCCAGCTTCCCTTAATGAAACATAATCAAAGGTTTGTCTGGTTTAGAAAAAGTAAAAGGCAAAGTAGCTGGGAATGAAGAATAAGGGACAACTCAATCTGGTGAGTTTTCTCCTGCCCATACTGTTCCTAGTCTCTGAAACAGTGAAACTTAATAAACCTAGTGGTATAGTAAATCAAGCACACTTCTTCTGGTGCATGACAGCTTTACCTACTTAAGGCAGACTGCTGTGCATACATACATACACACAGATGATGCATTATTTGCAGAGACTTAAAATTTTACACCATTCTTTGTTGGTCTGAGTGTTAAAACTCATTTGACATGTAATCTTTAAAATACCTTGCAATAAATACACATTCAAATATCTTCCATTTGACTTTAAACAGATAATGTTGAGTTAAATCCTTATGTTCTTCACTGCTGCTTTCGAACTACTAGATCGAGTGTTTCAAAGCAATGTATTTTCTTACACTGTGTTAGGTTTTTTTCAGTGATGAATCAATTTGTGCATACATTCAGGTACTTACTTTTTAGCTCTTTCAATACACGCTACTGGCATTATCTACAGTGTGTTTCAGTAACTATTTTTAGATAACAATCCGCACAAGTACAAATAGTTTGCCTTGTTCTCGTTCACTGGTTGCCTTCTGCATATTACAGAGGGAACTGGGATGCCTGAGTGTTGGTAGTGGAGAGGGTATGGCTTTGGGGGACAGATGGCAGCTCTTTTTTTGGAAGAAGTGACATGACTGTTGACTTTTTTCTCCGTGCAATTTAGGACTAGTTTGTTTACAGCAGAGCGAACCCCCCTAGTTCATCTTCTGTGCCCCTCTCGACAGGAAAACCAGCATGGATTGAGTTATGGCAAGTCAAATGCTGCTTTGTATGAAGTTTGATTGTACCAGTCGCTGGTGGTCTTTTTCATTGTTTTTTGAAAATGCACCTACTTCCTGAGAGCTGAATTGCCAAAGTCAGGTTGGAATGGAGTTTCAGCTTCGTAGTTTACTGGAGCCGGTTGCAGTTTACTGAAAGGTCTAGGCAAAAAACATAAATCATTCTGTAATCTCATGCTGACATATGGTATGTAAATACCATGATCCACCCAAAGGGTAGCCAGCATTATAAATGTACTTTCTAATCTCCTGCTGAAATGAGCACTCAGTATAATGCAGCTGTAATCTAATAGATATTAACAGCCTGAGAATGTACAATAAGACCTTAATAATTCAGTATTGTTCGACTGGCTCCATCTGACTTGTAATTAGCACGATAAGGGTTGTGCCTCTTGCAGTCGAGCAACTAACTGCATTAGTTTAATATTACTAGAATTTTTAAAGCCTTGACTTCCCAACAGAAATAGGCTACGACATTTTAAAAATTAAACATTTTGAAGTTGATATGCAATACAACAAATTTTCATGGGGGGAAAAAAAACCAGCTTTTTTTTTTTTTACAACAATTTCCATTCTAGATTTTCATATACGTATTAAATTCACGTCATGCAGCACTCCATTAAACATTTGAAGTTGATATGCAATACAACAAATTTTCATGGGGGGAAAAAAAACCAGCTTTTTTTTTTTTTACAACAATTTCCATTCTAGATTTTCATATACGTATTAAATTCACGTCATGCAGCACTCCTGGTATGGCCAAAAACTTTTGGATGTAGTTTTGGTTTACTCTGCCTGGATTCTCTTGTTGTTCCTCTTTCAGGCCAAAGTCATTAAAAATTATTAGAAGTTGTTGCAACATTGCCCACAATAGGCATAAAAGGGAGAGGCTTATTCCACAGTCTTATGGGTTTACTTTGATGCACGAGCTTACCCTGGAGCTCCTCCGGGTGCATGTGCCTTGTGGACCCGTCCTAGTTGCCCGGGATAGAAACCACAGACGTCCTTTCCAGGACAAACAACTGAGCTGATGAAGCAAGCAAATAGAAGATAGTGAAGGTATAAGCAGGAGACTAGAGAGCAGGGATCCTGCCCAAGCTGTGGAAAAGCAATTTTTTTTTATATGGCGGTTATGGAAAAGAAATATTTTTGTCCCAGTACAGAGCTTACAAGCGAATGAGGGAATGACGTTGGTAACAAGGCAAAATCGTGCATCTTTTGAAAAAATGTGAGTTTGTGCAGATGAATGCACCTTTTTTCTTCTTTTTCTTTTTTCTTTTTTTTTTTTTAATTTAAGAAATAAAAGCTGGGCAGACTTCCCCCCCCCCCCAAAATCACCTTTCGAA